AAAACAAAAAGATTATGAAGTATTTCTAAATTGATCAGTAAATGTGATTACGAAGCACAGTACACCGTTCAGAAAATAGAAACAAATCATAACCAAAAGGAAGATAAACAAATATATATATTCAATCGTATTGGTTATGTTTCATTGCGTCCACTGGCATTCAAACAAAAAGGTGATTGTGGGATTTCATTCAACTATAACATAAAACACAAATATTATTAAAAATAATTCATCTATGATAGAGAATATCATAAGCTTTTAAACCTTTATGAATAATTTTCTAATTATAATAAGTCAATTTAATAGCATAATCGTTAAACCAAACAAGTTTATAACAATTCACACTAAGAATGAAATAAATATTTTCTCAAACCATGGATAAAAATTTGGGACAAAACCTCTAAAATTTTATATACAAATTTGTTATGTAATTTATCATAATTTTCCAAGAAACAATAAATAACATGATAATCCAAAGTATAAACATTCATGACTTAAAAAAAAGATTTAGAAAAAGAAATAATCTAATTAAAAGTGTATAAAACCCTACATAAAAGATGCATAATAATATTATTCTGTTGGTTGTTAAACAAGCTATAAGAATGATATATATTATTAAGTTCAATAAGAACAATCATAACAATGCAATTATTAAAATCAGAAAATTTACTAAGCAAATGAGGTAAAGCACCCATTTTATCAACGATGCTATGAATAAAATTAAAGTTCCAAATAAGAATCTAAGAACCACTCATACGATTAACAATAAAAATGATTGAATTTCAAAGATCTTTTTCTAACAACAGTATTGTTATCAGCACGAATCACAGTAATAAAAATTTAATAAAAGATTAAGAAGTAATTTGTCAATTAATAAACTAACGACTGATACTAATAGTAGAGAAATGTAAAACAACTTGGTTCCATTTGATATAAGTTTTGTCGTTATCATCATATCTAAAATTATCAAAATTGTCTTCATTAGAAAAAAATACTTTAAAATGGGCTAAAGTAAAATGATAAGAACAAACAATGGGAGTGATTTTTTTTTCTAAAAAGCATAAGAGATCATATTTATGATCCTTAATAAGACTCATGCAACATGCAATTTGGGTATCATTATTACACCCCCTAACATTCCAAGCAACAATATTTAGTAAATACATTTAAAAAAGGAAAAATATATATATAAAGAAAAGCTAAGAAAATAAATAGTTTATAGTTGTTTCCTCAAATCTTTCCTATTTGAACTCTTGAGGAAGTTGGATGGGGTGGGAGAGTTGGTTGATTCTTGATAATTTGAGTATTACTATAAATATTCCTAACCAAAATAATGTCCACATTAAGAAGGATGTTCAAGTTGAGTAGCAATAAAATTGTCAGAACCACTAACCATAGGAACCAAAGCATTACAACTCAGTTTAGAGATAACTTCATTATTCTTAATAGAAGGCAAAACAAAAATAGACACAACAACAAATACATTACTATTAGAAGTAATATAAAAAAATGTTAAGATTAAGGGGTGAATTAGTAACGAGAGCAATAATAACATTAGAGTTAATATATAAAGATCTTGGATAGTGAAAATGTTTAGCAACATTCACATATTTACTTATGTTTCTTTGAAATTCATGTAAAATTGTTATTCTTTTTAACATTCCTGCCTCTAAAAATTGGAATAATAGCAAAGGAAGGTTGAGATGAAGATTCAGGGCAAGTAGAGAGATTGTAAGAATATATTTTGCAAATAACAAACTTCCATTCATATATAACAGGAATAATAACTTTTTCACCTTTAACCAAAGAAGTAATAGAATTGAGAAGGGGATAATCAACGTTAATTTGAACATTAATCATAGCAAAAGTTTACCGAGCAACTTTTGCAGTTAGAGGGTCAACTGCTAAATAAATTTTGAGATCTCTTGCAATATTAAAAATACTATTCTTCGACCAATAGTAAAGTGGAAGGTTAAATAATTTTATCCATATTAGAACTTCATAAGAATCCTATCTACTAGGTTAAAAATCAGGTGATCATTTCTTGAAAATAAATGATTTAACACCAACAAATCAAAAACTATGCAAAAGCATATTTTCAAAATCTTCTAAACTGGAAAAACTTTAAAAAGAAAAATTCTTTAGATAGAGAAATAAGATCAACAGACCCTTTTAATTTGTAGATCTTACCAATAATTTGAAAAAGATTTCCACAAAATAATCTTTTACCTAAGGCAAAACCCACAAGAGCAAGATTCCATGATTTTAAGCATTCCTCAACTTCTAAGTATGAGAAAGTTATTTTTTCATCTCACAAGACACATAAAAAAGAATAAATTCACAATAATTTAAAATATTAGAAGATATCAAATTATTTCAAGCTCTGAAACTAGAAGGAATCACAAAACACAAAAAGAAGAGAATAAAAACTGGGATTTATTCTTAAAGAGACTTAGTTGACAAACCCTAACAAAGCCTAAGAAACTTCTCCCAAGAACCTAGAACACCACCCCAACCCCCCCCCCCTATTTTTAATTGTTCTTGATTTGATTTTGAGATAACACACATAATTCATTGTAAAATGTTATACTTCAAAAATTTATTTTTGATGGATAATTAAAAATTATCATGTTTTACATTTAATTTATATGCAACTTGGCTCGAATATGTATCACATAAACTGAAAACAATAACAAAAGTATAAAAAAAATAAAATATAAAAAAGTTCAAACTTAACAAATGAGCCCACTTTGAAATCAAAACTAGAATAAACTCAATCTTCATGTTTGACTCTAAATTAGATGTTGACCAATGAATTTGGACATGATAAAGCAACTAGTTGGGTATTTTCTTCACTCTGAGCGACAATCGCCAAGTTGATCGAACGGTGCTCCTTCTCCGAGTTTCATTAAAGTGCCGTTGCGGTCAAACCAATGTATTTGCCCAATCCGTGTCATTTATACCCGCTGTTATTTCTCCGCATCCTCCCGTCACCCCTTTCCCCTGCCGCAAGAAATCGGTGTAGAAGGAGTATAGCAGAGGCTTGATCCCCAATCCAGGTTTTTCAATTCTCGAGTTGCACTTTTCACCCTTAATATCCGGAGGAAAATCGAAGGATGACATCCGAGGAGACGGTGAAGGAGCAGCTGCTTGCGTTGCGGACAAAGCTTGCGAAGAAGCAGACATTCGAGGAGGCAGTATCCTCGATCGCGTTTCTTCTGCGAGACCGTTACACTTCCGCCTCCCCTTCGCTTCGTCAATTGGTAAATTTGGTGCCTTTGGTTTAAAAAGATTGTCTCCATTTATATATTTTTTTCTGCATCTTTCTCTCATTAATTGTTTTTACAGCATAAAATTTTCCTTTTATGATCTGATTTGCTGGATACAAGAAACTCCTGGGGTTGTATTAGATGGCCGTGTTCTTATATTCGATTAGATTTTCATTTATAGTAGTGTTTTGTTTGCGGATGAAATTGAATTTGATGAAAGTTCGTTTTTCTCCTGATTTCTTATGTTGACTCTGGCCTCTCACTGGAATTCTGTATTGAAGGACGATCTTAGGAAACAAAGTTCCGGCGGTGTTTAAACTATGAGTTGGCGAAAAACTCCTTGTCATTGTGATCAGTTGTCTTTTCTGAACTGTCTGAGGCGATCTTTTGAAACTTCCTTCATTTATTCTTGTTGAGATTTGAATGAGACATTATGTAATTGATTTATATTACTTATTTTTTTTGCATAACCATCCTGTAGCTCTGTTTTCTGTTTTTCTCAATCCCTTTCATATTCATTTCACAGAAAAAAATTATTTGTGCACCGCATTGTTACATCTTCCAACTTCCTTTTTTGACCGTCTTCTCTTCAGCAGCTGCTACTCCTGCATAAATAGCTTCAATGGGTCCATGCCATACATCTTCTTAGCATTCTCGCCTCTTCAACATGTTAGCTATTTATATTCTCAGATACATATAGCGTGATTGGTCTAATTTCAAAATTTATCTTGGTCATGAATGAGCTCATTGTTATTCCCTTTGGGATCAGTAAAGCAGAATTATTCTACTTTAATTCATGTAAAAGCTGGCAAAACTTTTATGGTATTTTCTCATTGCTTAGTGCTTTTGAGACACTTCTTTGCTTTAATCGACCAACTTCAAATATATAATTTATGCTTTATTTTAACCCTATCGGTGTTATCAAAGAGCAAACTGCAATGTGATGTGCAAGGTTTTAATTTTTGCTTCAAAGTGCAAAGCGCGGAGCGAAGCAGAACTTTTATTGATCAAAGCGTCAATACATTTTATAAAACTATTAATGCATAAATACTGTCATTATTAATTATAAAATATAAAGTATAACTTAAATGTTAATATAAAATAGAAAAGAATGCGGCACAATACTTAACTTGAAGGCAAACATTAAGAGAGAATGTTTATTTGTTTTCAAAATTAAAAATTTTAAGTAAAATATTTTAATATTAATTAAAATTTGCTTTAAAACCTGATCTTTTTTTTGTTTACCCTTACTACCAAAAAAAGGGTATGTACACACTAACCACCCAATTCCTATGTATTTGCAATTTTACATATCTAACATCTAAATATAATATGTAAAAATTGAAGTTTAGGTGTTGGATATTGAAGTTTAGGTGTAAAAATTGAAGTTTAGGTGTTGGATATGTAAATACATAGGAACCGAGAGGCATGATTGGCTAAATTGAAGTCAAAGCCAAAGTCGAAGGAAGACCTTAGCGTTCAAACACACTTCAAAATCTAGGCTGGAGTCGAAAACGATGCTTGACTCCCTTTCGCTCAAACTCTCAAACATGACTGTCCACTCCTTGCGCTCCTTCAAACACCAGATCAAAGCCTTTATTTACTCTCTTTAAGATGTGAAAAGGATCAACTGACTTCAGCACTTCGAAGAGCACTTCGGTGAAGTGAAGTGGGCATTAAGCGTTTCGCTTCGCTTTGCGCATGTGGTGCGCTTTAAAAATGTTGACCCCTATTTATAGAATAAATTCAATGTTTTCAAATGTATTATATTTTTGTTTTACTTTATCTTCCTACCAACTATTGCAATTAATTTCATATCCACCACAATTAAATATTTGTTATACACACACACACACATATATGTGTGTATATGTGTATAGATGTATATATGTATGTGTATATATATATACACACATGCATATATATATTTATGTATGTGTGGATACATACACACACTTGCTATATTGTGACATGCTTTCATTTATTTCTTATCTATGTTTTTTGTAAATACCATATTGATACTGATCTAGGGCTTCTAGAAGATATTTAGGAATCAATTTTTGTTAGGAGGGGATTATGGAATGGAAAGAGAAAGATAATACGCGAGTTCGATGGAGTTTGGATGGGTTTAAATATCACTTAATGTTTGTCGAAACAATGAGATACGGATGTCGAAAGGTTCACCGCATATTTTTGGGCAAGCTACGAGCACACCACTTGTAAAAGAAAATGATACAACACTCTATTAGGTAGAAACTATATATCACAATCTTCAAAACTCACAAACAAAGGAAAATTCTCTAAACAAGGAAAAAAAATAAGATATAAATAGCCCCTGCTAGAAAGAACCCTGATTAGCCTTCAAAAATAGAAAAAAAATAAAAAAATAAAATCTTCAAATATCTTGCTGTAGAAAATTCGAGTGAGGAGTTCACTACAGGCTAATAAGGATGGGATTCTATCCCGGTGCTTGCTTATGCTAGAAAATCATGTGAATCGTCACGATCATATCCCATGATCATGGGAGAATGAGGATTCCCGCATCTAGCTTGCCCCCAACAGTTCCCCTTACGTATGCGTGTCTCACATCAATCTCTCAGGTAGGAGGAGCTTTGTTTTCCTCCTAATAAGCTTCTATAATCGATCTTCTACCATAACAAAGTTATTGCACAATTGGGACCGGGGAAGCTCCTCAATAAAGTCTATGCTTACGTTTCCCCAAGATAATTCTGAAACTTAAGTTTTTCAAATTTTGTTCTGATAGAATATGTAACCATTTATTCTCTGGTAACCTGAGCTAGAATTGCACATGGACGGGTATTCTCACGAATCAAATCTTGTTAAATATGTAATATGTTTCTCCAATTTCTCGTAATCGGATGGGTGCATCCAAGGAACAAGCTTGTTCAGAGAAACTAACTTTAGAATGAAATATGTGGCATGCTGGACTATTCTTAATGGTGGCCACCTGTCAGTCAAGTTTTTTGGCGACTCTCTCATCAAGGGTCGTCTCTTTTATGATATTAGTTTCTTGGACTCAACCTTTTATAACAAATGTTAATCCAGTTGAAGTCTCTCACATGAGCTCAGCTTGAATTCATCTCTTTTTTATCAGTTGGAAGTTGAGACTCTTCTTTGACGTCTTCATGCTCTCCCATGTCATTGCCCATTTTTTCAACTGTTTCCTGCTTGGTGAAAGAGATCGCCATTGTGTTTGGGCAATAATATGTCACGTGTCTAAAATTGTGATACTTGAAGCATTTACTTGTGGGGATGAATTTGAGAATACTAGCGGTCTCCACCTTTTCTCCGCTCTGTACGGGTTTCTCCTTTGAATGGGTTGGCTTGAGTGCTTCTTGAGGTGTACTCTTGCTACTTGATCTCATGGTTGAACTCTGTTTGAACGATGGTGTAGACCTGATATTGTTGTGTTCTCTTTACCTTTAGGGCTAGGTTTCAAACATTTTGAAATATCCAATAAGGTTGCTACAATACTATATTCTCAATAAACATCTCAATCCCCTCAGATATTAGTTTTAGTGCTCTCCTTAGGCTTCCCTGGCCCACATTTTAACATTAGTTGTTTGAACTCAGTTGTTTATTCCTTTAATGAGAGATCTTGTTGTTGCAAGTAATGAAGTCTAAAGAACATGTTATATTTGTAATGAACTGATAGATACTTGCACTGCATGTCTCATTTCATCTTGGATATGGTAGTAATTTTATCATTCCTTTTCTGCTATCAAAGATGCTTCATGTTATCCCACCACAAGGAAGTGTTCATCTTGAGCTTGATGGCCACTACTTTGGCCCTCCCGTTGCGCATAATATTTTTATACTCAAAGATCCTTTTCACTATCTAGAGCTATTTAATAAACTCGTTCGGATTTATGTGACTGTCAAAATATGACAAATCAATCTTCACTCTAAATCCCAACTTATCCTTTGTTATTCTATGCTAAATTGTCGAGGTAGTGGTTCATCGTCATTGAAAAATCTCTGATAAAAGGGAACCACCTCATCCCTTCAAGCTGACTAGTCATCTTTGTGGCATCTCCGGATTGTCTCATCTCGCAGACGACAACTCATTGCAATTGGATGATTTTTTTCTGTATGTGCTCCATAATAAGCTTCTGAACACCTCTTTACGGGTTTCTTCTATGCAACACTATGATCTTTTTTGCTGATCAGGTTTTCAAGAAATGTATGATTATAAATTAAGGTTGGTAAAGGGTTTAAATTTTAGGAATAGGTGTAAGGTTGAAATTTTTGTGGAAGCAGGAAAGTTGGATTTTCAAAGTGTTAGGCTTGGTGCTAGGAATTGCAAAAGGAACGATTTGTGGAAAAATTTTTTTGGTGGGGGTCTCAGGTTAGGTTATTTGGAATTTTGGTATGGGATAAGGAAGATAAAACTCTAAAGATATAGGGCTTGTCGAGCTTTGATACCAGATGATATAGATCTAGGACTCCTAGAAGATATTTAAGAATCGAGTTTTGCAAGGGAAGGGGTTGTAGAATGGTAAGTAGAAGAGAGTACGCGAGTTTGATAGAGTTTGGACGGCGATAAATATTGCTTGGTGATTGTCTAGGCTGAAACAACACAAGTGTCAAAATGATGAGGTACGGAGGTTGAGGAGGTTCACCACCTGTTTCTGGACAAGCGTTAAGCACACCACTTGTCGAAGAAAAATGATACATTAATCCATTAGGTTGAAACCATAGTTTACAATCTCCAAAGCTCATAGAAAGCAAAAGTCTTTAAATCAGAAAAAACAAGATATAATTAGCCCCCTGCTAGAAATAAACCCTAATCTCCCTTCAAAAATAGAAAGAATAAAAATAGAAAGTTTTCAAATATCTTGCAGCAGAAACTTCGAGTGAGGAGACTAAGCTGCTACAAACTAATCGGGATGGCATTCTGCCCCGGCTCCTGCTTATACGGGAAAATCCTGTGGATCGACACAATTCGATCCCGTGATTCCAAGAAAACAAAGATTCTCGTGTCTAGTTTAAAATCTATGAAATGTCAATTTTATTAAAATCACTTTAGCCACCCTAACAATTACCTTTATTTACTATTCATGCATTATACCATTGTAGTAATTGTAAGATCATCAATGTACTTTTGACGCATACCTTTTTTTATTGTTTTTTATTATCAATTTTTACCATATGCATACATTACATTTATTTTTATTTTTATTTATTTTCTTGACAAAAGAAAATTACATCCATAGTTGAGTTTCTTGGCTTAAAATCAAGTTGAATTTTTAATGTTATTCTGTTTCCTTTGTCAAATATTCACTTATGAATCTAAATTTTAATTCTCCCATGACTTAAAAAAACTTGAATATTTAATTCTTATTGTAGAATTTTTCTAAATGCTTATTCTTGAACCATTTAATATCTACTAAGTATTTAGGGGTTGTTTGGTTGACTGCAAAAGGAATGCGATTGCAAAAGGAGTGCATTGCATTCTTTTTGCAGGGGCTTTGAAAACCCACCCCGAAAGAATTAAATACAATGTAAAATAGGAATGTATTTATAATTTATTTCCTACTTCATTTTCTGTGTATTTAAAATTTACTGGATTTGGGCGAATTCCACATACATAGCTTTATGTAGTGTTGCTAGCCACAGCTGCTACCGGTCGTTGGTAGCCAACCGATGCCATCTGTCACCTTGGCCTCTCCGTCCACCTCGTGTAGCTTGTCAACGCTTACATACTTTGAAAAAGATTGTTTCTGCTCTACTTTAAATCAATCAAGAAAATATAAAATCATAGTTTATTTTACACTGAACTGAGCAACTTCAAAGTATTTCATACAATACATTACTTCTAGATTGCGTTTATTTTACATTGCATTATTTTTTCACCGAACCAAACAACCCTTTAATTATTAATTAAAAAAGTTGTTAATCAAGCTATTCTAGTATCTTCTACAACTTCATGTATCTTAATAGGTTGCTTATTTGGATCCAAAGCTTTATCTTAATGAACCTTCTTCATTGCTAATTCAATTTCATTTATTTATGGATAAAGTTATAATGTAATTAAGAGACAATTTACTTAATTTTGTGTAGAAATATGTTTATAAATCTATACTGCTTGCTTTAATTTTCTTTCCTCATAACCTCTTTACATAAACCTAATTAACTCAAAATATTTACGATTGCCAATCTTCTCATGTATAAGTTTTTTTTTTTTTTTAAATTTCAAGCATGCTATGAAACTAAATTAATTAGAAACTTACAATTTTATGCGAATGAATGCTATTTTCTTTTTGATTTTTGGATAACTTTGTGAACAGCTTTTAATCTATGTTTGTATTACTAGTGTCATAAAATTGCATTTTAGGTTTCTTCTTATAGTTTACATATCCAAATTAATCAATTATATCATATAGAACTATTTCATATGTATAATGGCTCTTATAAATTTCTAAAATACAGTTAGGCTCATAGACATATCAAGTTAATGAGCAATTAATGAACAATATAAAACTGTTGATGCAACACGCCATATCATGATACAAAAAATAAAATCACTGCACTCTCACTATAATATGAGTATTTTCTGTTCTTCATTATATAAGTATAATTACCATTTTTTTCTTCACTTGCTACAAATGAATTTGCTTCCTTATAAGACTTGGGGAAAGCTAACCTGCAAAATTTCTTTCGACTTGAGTAAAAAAAGTTTATATTACAGTGATTTCATCCTTGTTTAATATCATCTTGCTGAATAACATGTATTATAAATTAATAAAGATTTGAACAACCTTAGGAATTATAACTTGTTAATATAATCTCTCACCTACCTTTTGTCACAGATATATTCTACAGTTTGCCGTGTAGCTACTCTTCTTCAAACTAGATATACAGCACGTGGATTTTGGCTTGCTGGCTTAAGTCTATTTGAAGATGCAGAGAAGCTAGTTACCGAACCATCTGAAAAGGATAATTTACATAAATTTGTTACTAGGGCTCGTGAGCATTTGAATGATATAGAGAATGAGGCTCCTAGTTCTGAAAGAAGACAATCAGGTGGCCTTACTTCTGTAAATAAATTTAGAGAATAAAAAAAGTTGTTTTTCAATTGCTTGACTCATGCAGTATTCTATCATCTTATCGTTAATGAATGGTACAGTCAAGTTTTTGAACTTGCTTTTTTAAATTACCCATTAATTGCACATAGGATTTTTACGATATTCACATTTAACTGATGGAAATTATATGTTCTTCTTGTAATTTTAATAGAAAGGCAATTTGCGTGAATTTTTAATAGAAGGGCAATTTGTGTATCATTTCGTAGTTAATTAGTAGATATTTGGGTTACAGGTGATTTATGACATGCAGGTTATGGACGGGTTCTTTGCTTTATACAAATTCTTTCAGCCAAAAGAAAATATAGTCTACATTTTCATTTGCTATTTATGTTTATCGAATAATACCTAAGGTAACCTAGATAACAAAAGTGATAGAACCAGATGTGTTGTCGAGCAAAGTTTAAGCTAGCCAGTCTCAACTCAAAATTGAAAAGTTTGGTTTTCGCTTGAGTCAAATTTGAGCCAAGTCGAAAATAATCGATTTTGACTTAAAATGATCAAATGAAGTCAAGAATTTATTTTATTGAGGTCTTTTTTTTTAATTTCTAAATGCTATTATACTCATGATATTTTTAAATTGTTTTATAGAACTGGATATTTTTCTTACAAAGTTATATATAATAGGAGTGTTCATGCATATTTTTTTGTAAGGACAAACATATACATTTGTAATTTTACATATATTGAGTTTATTTCGAGTTGAGCAATTCAATAACAATTTCAGGTCAACTAAAATTCTAGTGATTATCAAGCCACTTTTAAGTTTAGAATGTAATTGCCAGCGTTAGAAATAATTCATACATGCTTATAGTTTGGCGCACTTGTGCAAACCGCATAAATTGATTTTAGCACTGAATTGTGCATGGGGTTGAAATTGATGAATGTACATACATTATTTATCGGATAAAGATAAATTTTATAGTTGGGATTAGCTTTGAGGTAAGATATAAATTCAGTAAATATCAGTATTGCATGCTTTTTGATCTGCATAATAGCTAGAGCAGGATTTACTTACCTTGTGATTGAGATGCCACCAGTTTTCCACGTTATTGGATTGGAGAGCTCCATCCATTTGTCTAATTATTTTTAGCTTCATCTCTTTACTTGATTTCATCCTTATTTATTTTCCTATGTTATTTTCCCCATCATACTTTAGCACTATGGGCGTGCTTGCCACCATTTCTGTCTAGCTGACTTTCTGATTTGTGATGGTTAATGGTTGCGAGAAGAAAAGAGTAGGCAAAGATGATTACATGAAATAGATGGAATGAGTTAGCTAAGAAGAGGAAGGCAGGAGAGAAACTTTATGCTTATTTATTTATTTCTTATGAAGATGGGTGAAAGAAAAGGAAGAAGGAATGAGATGGAAGCGTGCAATTAGATGACCTTGAGAATTAGAAGCGGGATGCGTGACCTTTTTTTGGTGATAGGTTAATAGGAGTTAGCCTAACAATGAGGCTAGTTTAGGATGCATTGGGGTGGAGACAAGCACATGCGTAGTGGAGCTAGCTAAAATTAATATCTTTATTGAATTGATAACATAATACAACTGGTTTCTGATGTAATTATATTTTTCTAGCTCTGTTGAACCTGAAAAATTAGAAGGAATATATGCCTTATGGCCAAAGACATATGCATGTGCAAATTTAATGCTTCAGAAAATCTCGCTGCTGTTAATGAACCTAAAGATTATGAATGCCTATCATTTTGTGCATGGTAACCAAAGTATTATTTATATTTAAATTTTTAAGTTAGATCGCTATGGGCTGTCCTTTTCAAAGTCAATGGTGTTATTGCTGTTGCATGGTAAAACTCTTATTGTTTTGGCAGTTCTCACCCCCATCTCTCTTGATTCTTTGATAAGATGATGATTTTTTTAGCTCTAATTCTTCATGTTCACTTCTATTGCATGGTGAGATGTCAAAGCTAGCATGATCCAACTTCTTGATAGTGTGCAAGCCTTGGAGCTCTAGAGGAAAAACTTGGGAGAATAAGATTGTCTTTTTTGTGAAGGCTATGTATCTTTAATTTTAGCAAATGGCTTATCTGTCACAAGCGTTGATTTTATGCGAAAGGATGAATGGTTAGTCCATTGCTTTTAATTCTTACCTCGACAACCTCTATCTTGATTGGCCAAAAATATTTCCTTGGGATTTTGTACTTGGAATTAGATAGGTGTACTACTAATACCCTATCACTAGTTCAATATGTGTGGTTTTTTATTATCCATACGAATTGAAGAGTGCTAATTTACTTAGATCTTCAAGTAGAGACAAGTAAAGTTGTTGACAATCAAATATGTTGCAGGAGAAGCTTAATGTATCGGAATAATGATAGACATTGAAAAAAAATATGGTGTTGAACTTTCAGGTCTCGCAAAAGAGCTACATTTGACCTTTTTTTCCTCTAAATGAAGGGGTTCATTTCTCTCTAGGAGTTTGATTAAACACTGATAAAGCACTACCCAAAGTTACCGACCTCTTGTGAGGACTTCATCTTCCTATTTCAAGAAGATTCTCATGGGTGTAAGAACTACCCAATTGTTAATCATCTCTATTATAATTTTGAAGGAGGTTACTCTCAATTAAGGCTGGTAGTTATTGCATTATATTGTCTCCCTTAGTGCAATGGAAGAGATGATCTACTTTTGTGCTTAAACGATTTTGTTTGGGAATTGATGACACACCTGATGAAGATCCCATTATATCATTATTTTTTTAGAGTGATGATTAACTTTGATTTTTGTAGAGATAATCGATTTAAATTGGTTGGAAAATCCTTATCGGAATGGATTTTTTTGCTCGAGAAAACTTCACAAGTTAAGGGTGGAAGTTGATTGAGCAATCAATTTTAGATCAACATTAGAGTGGAGGGCTTTGTGTTCGGTTAGATGCACTGGGCAATTTTTTTCTCTCCCCATCTTTTTTAATGGCCTCGTGATTGTATCCCATCGGCACAATATCTATGAGGTCATCCTTTCTAAAGTGCTCCTATACGAACATGTTTAATTTTGGGTTATGATGAAATTTTGGCCGTTACACCAAAAAACATCTCGATGTTTAAGAGTTCAACTTTATTCTACTAAAAGAGTTTTGCAATCTTCCCACTTAAGTAATTGATGTTCTCATCGATGCTCTGAACTCAGAATTATCCATCGGGTAGATAAGATTTTAGTTACTATCCCTACATATTTAAAATATGTTTCTCACATTGTAGCACTTTGTCCCAAATATGTTTCTCACATTGTAGCACTTTGTCCCATTTGGGTTCATGAATTGTCTCTCATAACGTAGCAATTTATTCCATATAACACTTAGTTCCCAATTTTATGATAGTATAACGCTCTAATATCATTTGTAACAGTCCAAAACTCTTATCCATTAAGATATTGTCCATTTTGGACTATTGGTCACGATTTTATCCCATTGGTGTAACTTGCCAGGGAGTCACCCATCCTGAGAGTGCTCTCAGATGAGCATTTTAAAAATTGGAGTTTCTGATGAAATTTCAACTGTTGAACTAAAATGTTGGTCTTGTTGTTTCAGAGTTTAATTTTATTCTACTTAAGGGGTTTCATATTATACAGGTCTATTTCTTGTTCATTTACCTCTTTTGAGCCACAATAGGTTATGTGTGAAAGCTTCAAACATGAGCATTCCTCCATCTTTTGATCTGCTTCTTTTTCTTCTTATCCCTCAGCTTTAACTTAGGATTGAATTAGTTTGCATAGAATAACGTCCCTTAGCAAGGCATAACCGTGAAAGGGTTGAGGATAGGGGTCCTCATCCAAGCATGGCAATAGTTTATGTTGTTTAGCCTTAAGATGAATTTATTCTATAGATTTACGATATAGTGGCGGAGTTATAAGGGTTGAACATGTGGGCTCTTAATGGGTTTAGATAGCAGATTAGGTTCCAGGTGTTTACGAATCATATCACATTAACTTAGATTTAATGAGATTTAATTAATTTACCTTAATCATTTGGGCTTGACTAAAATTTCTTATTTAAATATAGATTTGACTAAGTTGACCTATTCTTTTCTTGGTTGGGTGCTATGGATATCTAGGTGGCGATTTCTACTTGATGCTTCCCGAGGTTCATGATAGGTTTGCTTAAGTTGCATCTAATTCTAGGTTAACCTTAAATTAGTTAATAAATTCTTAAGTTTATCTAGTTTAACTCCGGGTGGATTATGAATTAATAGGTTTAACCTAGGGTAACCTAATAGGATAGACTATGGTCTTGGGTTAGGTGGGTCTTGTAGGATTGACTAAACCTAACATCAACCAAATATAGTCTTAGCCAACTTAGAGTTTGATTTGTTTATAGTTTAATGTGCTTAGGATGAATTAAATGGATACGATAGGGTTTAGGTATATGTGCAAGCGTCTTACCATCTCTGATGAGTTTTGACTTACTTTGGCCTTGAGTCAACATAATGCTTAGGGAAATGGTTGGTTTGACCAAGGAATTTGGATTGACCTAATGTGATTAGGACCCATTGAGTCAAAGGTTGAACCATGCCAAGTCCAAGGGTCCCAAACCTATGTGAAGTACCTCTAGGCTAGCTTCGGAGTGTTCATTAGTGGTTAGTTAGGGTGGTCGAAATGTAGGATAGTTTGATGGTTGACCTTTGGTTTGGCTAAACTAGCCAAGGCTTCACTAGTGCTAGTTACGAGTTGTTATGGCTGGGTGCAGGGTCTAAGTGCATGTGCCCGAGTGTCAGAAGTGAACTTTTCAAACCATGCGTCCAATCAAGGAAAGGGTATTGAGTGAGACCTAGTAGATTTTTCAAAGGGTCTTAGGTAAACTAACTAGAGCGCATGTACTAATTAAGCTAGTGACTTGGACAGAGATGGTCTTGGGTCATCAAAGATAGATTTGGACGCCTCAAGCTAATATGCCAAATATATGGATATAACTAAGTAGATCAATA